TGATATAACATTCAAATATTAAAGCATAAATAAAAAGTTTAGAAATATATGACCATATTTTTTTTAAAACATGTCTCCTATAAACATTTTTTCATTGCCTGCTAATACGGTTCTATTTTTTCCATACTTTTATTGGTGTATTACAATTGTCTAATGGTGGGATCCATTGTTACGTGTCTGTATAAGCACACGATGTGACAGTGTGACACGGTCACTGTCATCCTTCACTGTTTCCTCCTTCCGTCCTCTTCCCCCCTCCCCAGTCCTTTTCCTCTTCTCTACTGATCTGCTTTGGTTCTCATGAGACTCCCCCCACCTTTCCTTCCTTTTTCCTCCTTAGCTCCCACATATGACAGGAGACCCGTGACCCTTGACTTTCTGAGTTTGGCTGATTCATGCAATATAATGTTCTCAGGTTCCATCATTTTACTGGCAATGACAATGTCATTCTTCAGGGCTGAGTAGAACTCCATTGTGAGGAGCCTCTGTCCTGATTTCCATAGTGACTGTATTAATATATAGTCCCACCGAGACTGGGATTATACAGTATATATACACATCTTCTCCCGTGTTTCTTATTGCTGATCTTCCTGACGGCTGGGATCCTAACTGGAGTGAGATAGAATATGATGTCGTTTTGATTTGCATTCCCATAATAGGTAATGACGTTGAACGTGTCTCCATGCATTTGTTGCCCCTTTGTATTTCTTCTTTGGGGAAATGTCTGCTTAGTTTACTTGCCCATGTATTAATTGGGCTATTTGTTGTTTTTTGAGTTATTTATATATTCTGGATTTTAACCCTCTGTCAGAAGAATAGCTAGAAAAGATTTTGTCCCATTCTGTATGGTTTTTTTTTACCTTCCTTTTTTTCTTTATTTTCTTTCTTTCTTTTTTTTTCTTTTTTCTTTTTTTGTTGTTGTGCAGAAGCTTTTTGAATTGATGTCATCCCATTTATTAACTTTTAGCATTATTTCCAGAGCTTTAAACTCCTGATGAGGAAGTTTTGGTCTGTTGCTCAAGTGTTGACCCTACATTTTTTTTCTAGGAGTTGCAGATTTTCTGGTCTAATTCTGAGATCTTGGATCAATTTTGAGTTGACTTTTGTGTAGAGTGAGAGATAAGACTCTAGTCTCATTATTCTGCATATGGATGACCAGTTTTCCCAGATCATTTGTGAAAAGGGCTATCTTTTTTCCAATGCATATTTTTTGCACCTTTGTCAAGGATCTGATGAGTGTATTTGTGGTGGTTTATCTCTGTGTAAAACAGTCATGTTACATTGCTATATGATTTTCTTTTCTAAGTTTTACTAATAATTGTATTATAACTTATCTTCATATATTTTGTGGCTGTATATTTAGGTAATTCAAGTTTCATATTGCTTTATTTCCTTGGGTGACTTTTTGATTATTGTATAATGTTGCCCACTTTTTGCTACGAATGATTTTGCTTTATTTCATTTTTCTTTATTTCTTTCAGTTGGTGTGCTGCAATATAATTTTTTGTTTCTTTATTTTCAACGTCTTCAAGTGTGTGTGTGTGTGTGTGTGTGTGTGTGTGTGTTTCCTTTAAACAGCTGGATAATTTTAATTTATATTTTAGTCTCTAATTTTCATAGGAGAATTTAATTCATTTACGTTTGTTGTAATGACTGATCTATTTGGAATTATTTGTATTCCCTTGTTTTTTTGTTTTGTACTTGTTGGTTTTTCATTCCTATTCATTGCTCTTCCTCAGTGTCTTTCCCACGTTTAGATGGATTGATAATGTTTTCTGTTTCCTGTTGTTTTATTGCTGGTTCAGAAGCTGTGAACTACATTTCTGTTGTTTTAGTGGCTACCCATAAGAACTCGGTCATAATTCTTTCTAGTATTCATTTTCACAACAATGCTATGGGATAGATATTATTATTTCCTTCAGATAAATGAAAACGAAGTTCAGAAAGACAAAGCAACTTGCCTGGGATTGTACAGGTCTTCAATACCCCAGGTAGATTTGAAATGAGGTCTGTATTATTTGGCAGTATATAATTGTAAAAAATTGAACACCATGCTGTGCTCAAAGCTGATAGGGCTGAGTTAACTAGATCCACCTTTTGTGGACCACTTTCCCCCACAGTCTACGGGCAGCGCCCTCAGTTGCTCAGTTGCTGGGCACCTGCAACACACATATTCCTTTCTCCCGTCCCCCATTTCCCCATCCTCAAAGTGGCTGGATTATCCCTGACAGTCTTTCTAAATCCTATTTGAGCCGTGCTTGGAGAGTTCTTTTGACAACAGACATTTAACAACCGCCCTGAACATCTTCCTTTATGATAAACAGGGTAACGATGGAGGTTTGCCTGTAGCTTCCCACAACAACACTAAACATCATTTAGATTTATTGGTTAATTATTCACATCTTTATCCAAATTTGAGTCTGTGTGCTGCAGAATGGAAACTCTCCGAGTGGCATTTATCTCCCATTAACCTAATGGGTTTCCGCTGTCCCCTCCTCTCCTGTAGTGCGGCTCATTAGGAAGGAGACGGTGGCTGGCTCTGAGGTTTTGTTGTGAATTTCGTCTCTCTGTGGGAGATGGTGCCAGCCTTTTCAAGGGCTTTCTGACATCGAAGGCTGTAGAATCTGAGCTGTCCCTACCACAGGGTCAGTGCCAGCCTTGGGCCATTGCTGATTGCAGCTGGTTCCACAGAAGAACCAAAGGCACCATAGGGTGTGCCTGGAGTAAAAGCAGATACAAAAACAGGGAGGGTGCGGGACCTCCTGCGTGAATGCAACCACTCCACCCCACGGGCGCAGTCCCACGTAAAGTCAGGACTCCAGAGGGAGTGAATCCAGGCTTGGAGCATGGCAGACACTGTGGTGCAGTGGTTAGAGACTGATGCTGGAAGGCCTGGGTTCGAATCCCTGCACAGCCACTTAGGAGCAGCTTGGCCTTGGCAGCTCACGCACCCCATCTTTACCAGCTTTGCCTGCTCTACCTTGTTTCCCCCATGATGGTGCACACTTAAGAGTGATTCCTTCTGCTTTGTGACCTGCCCTCATGGTGCCATGCCACCCATCAAGACATGCAGATACCACATAGAGTCTCACCTCCATCTTGCTCACGCAGGGGCTTCTGCCTGCAGCCCCCTTGCCACACCCACCCTGGTTGGGGAGGAGCCGGTGCCCACCTCCAGGCTCCAACGCAGCCTCTGCCCCCTGGGGCCTCCGTGCCTCCACGCCACTTTGTTATATAAATCAAAGAGCAAAACAGGGCTCTCTCCTGGTTCCTCTTGCTAAAATGACCTCTTTGCAAAAACCGGGTTTGTGTCTCAACACTGCCTCTTACTAACTGTGATCTTGGGCAGGTGACTTCTGTGACCCTGAGTTCGCCCTCTGTTCAGTGGGAGTCACGAGACCACTGCCCCCAGGTCCATCGCCATGGCTGAAGGTTGAGCACCCACCAGGGGCTTTGAATAGGGCCTGACGCGTAGAAAGCTCCCTGTGAACCTGTCACTCTTTTAATAAAGGCAATAACAATGATAATAACGTTGATTTTTTAAGTGACTGTTGTCACAGGGTAACACCGTGTGACAGAGAGCCCGGTGCATGCCCAGCCCTCAGCTCAGCTCACGGGGGAGGGAGGGAGGGAGGTAGACGGATGATGGATAGATCTCCTGGGCCAGCATTTTAAATTCACCAGAGCAAGCATCCAAGGAAAAGGAGCTTACATTCTAAGAACCAACTCATTTTTCAAAGAATTCCAAACAGGTGGTAGAGAAATAGCCATGTCAAGTGCACAGGAGAGGAGCCCGTGCTGGGTCACCGGGCGGGCCTCCTAATCCGCTGTTTGTAAGGTGCCTGGCGGGGAAGAGGGCTTTGCCATCCATTATCACACATGATCCTCGTCTTATCTCGACACGGAGGACAGGGATTTGTATTTTAACCTCTCTCCTTATAGATAAGGAAGCTCAGATTCAGAGAGATTGTGCGACTCTGTGGCTGAGGTTCCTGCCGTCAGAACACGGAGAGCAGGGGTTCAAAGCCCGGGCCTCCTGATTCTCAACCCCACGTTCTTTCTAGAACATTCTGGGGCATTCTGTGAGTCCTGGCAGATGGTCAGCATTTGGCACAGAGGCACAGATTCCTGGTGGGTAGACACCCCTTCCCAGTAGGAGGCACCTGCACCCGTTTTCTTTAAACCTCCCTCTGAGGGGTGTCTCCTGTCCTTGCTGTAGTCTCCTGTGGAGTCGAGTAAGGGGCCAGTTCTTCTCTCGGGGCCCTGACAGAGGGCTCTGCTTCCGGAGAAGACCGAGTCGTGGAATGTCACGGTGCCTCCCCTGCCACTTGCCCCCGGGGTTAGCTGTCAGACAGGTCAGGTCACCTCCTGGAGCTCCGTCCAGGGTGTGGCCGCTGCCCCTGCCTGTTGGGATTCTGGGGGAAGGGATGTGCTCCCCTCTGTGCAGTTCCTTCTGCAGGAGGTGACGGCCCTGCCTGACCTTGGACAGGAAAAGGGACATAGAAAAGCTGCGCTTGATCCTCAAAAAGAAGGCAGCTCTTCTTTGCCGAGGGGGACACCCATGGGGAGAAGCGGAGTCCCCCCAGGCACAGCCTGCAGCGCGACAGGCACACAGAGGAGCGCGCCACCCCACGGGCGCAGTCCCACGAATGGCCCTAACTCGTCGGGCGGCACCCGGGGCCATGACGTTAGTCCTCCCTCGCGCCTGGCTCCTCTGTCCTGCTCAGGGCTGTCCTGACTGCGGTCAGCAGAGCCTGGCCAGCAGCGGAGGCCCCGTCCAGCAGGGGAGTCTCTCAGGAGCTGAGGTGAGGTCATACGGAGAGCTTGGTGGCCACGATGGCCCCAAGGACTTGGGAGCCCGCAGGCTGTTTGGCAGATGAGGAAACGGAGGCTGAAGGAGCCGTGGGAACCGGGATCCACGGTGGGAGGGAGGGCCGGGCACTCGGCTCCGCCCTGGCCACGTCCCCAGCCACGCTCACTGCCCTCTCCCTGGGTTGCAGATTGGCCACCGGGATTTCGACGTGGAGAAGCGTCTTCGGAGGGACCTGAAGAGGACGCACGCCCTTCTGTCAGACGTCCAGCTTCTTCTGGCCACCATGGAGGACAGCAAGACCTCTGTCAGCAAGGAGGAGCTGGAGAAGGTGCACAGCCAGGTGGGCGTCACGGTCCCCTCCAGAGTGAGGCAGGGGACACTGCTGCTGCCAGGGGAGGTGGCATGAGCAGGGTCAGGGCACCAACTTCCAGCCTCCGCAGACCCGCAGGGATGTGGGGACGTCACGGGCTGGGGAAGTCGTGTGGCAGTGGTCGGTGGGTGGGGGGTGGCTTATGAGGAACTGAGGGGTCCTGTTCC